AAGGTTCTATAAAGAAGATCATCTTTTAGCACCAGGCAATTCCATTGGCTCCAGTAACACTTGACTTCAGGACTACATGCACTAATGTCTTGCCAAGAGGGCCTTTCACTTCGACGCATCCAATCCAATACTCTTTTTATACATGGATCATCTGCTTGAGCGTCTTGTAGTTGTTGAGGCTGCCATTGATCATTAATGACAGTGGTTCGTCTCACGGGGCAAAGTCTGTCTTCTAATTTAAGACAGTGATTACAATGTTCACTGCACGGCCTTCTCGAAAGCGCATCAGCATTTAAATGAACTCTTCCAGCCCTGTGTTCGATCTCGTAATCATATTCTTGTAATCGTTCTAACCATCTTGCCATCTGGCCCTCTGGATTACGGAATTGTAGGAGCCATTTTAGAGCAGCGTGATCCGTGCGAAGAAGAAACTTTCTGCCATACAAGTATTTATGAAAATGCTCGCAAGCCTTTACTACGCCTAGCAATTCTCTCCTGGTGACGCAATAGTTTCTTTCTGGTTTCGACAAGACTTTGCTAAAGTAAGCGATGACTTTCTCCTGCCCATCTTGGATTTGGGATAGAACAGCCCCTATTGCACTGTTGCTTGCATCGGTGTCCAACACAAATTTTCCTGCCTGTCTAGGGTAGCTTAAAATCGGTGCGCTGATCAGAGCCATTTGTAAGTGTTCGAAAGCTCTTTGGCACTCTTCGCTCCATGTATATTCTTTGCCTTCTTCTGTCAACTTTGTTAATGGCTTGGAGATGTTGGCAAATCCTTTGACAAAACGTCGGTAATATGTACAAAGGCCAAGAAAACTTCTAATTTCGTGTTTGTCTCTTGGTACCGGCCAATCCTTAATTGCTGCAAGTTTTTCAGGATCAGCTGTAACACCATTACTTGCTACAATATGTCCCAAGTACTTCACTTCTCGTCGAAACAAGTGACATTTCTTCGGACTCAACTTCAAATTTGCTGCCCGCAATCGTTGAAAGACTTCTGTCAAATTATTGGCATGTTCATCGAAGGATCTTCCTACTACAATTACATCATCCAAATAAACCAGGCATGTTTTCCATGTTAGTCCTCTTAAAACTGCCTCCATTAATCTTTCAAATGTGGCCGGAGCATTACATAAACCAAAGGGCATAACTGTAAACTGCCAAAGCCCTGATCCTATCGAGAATGCGGTTTTCTCACGATCGGCTGGCTCCATGTCTACTTGCCAATATCCACTTTTTAGATCGAGTGTGGAGAACCAACGAGAACCAGAAAGTGTATCCAATGTATCGTCTATTCTCGGCAAAGGATAACTATCTTTTTTAGTTACCGCATTGAGCTGTCGGTAGTCAATACAAAAACGTGTTGAACCATCTTTCTTCTTTACTAGCACTACTGGTGATGTCCATGGACTGTTTGATGGTTCAATTACCCCTTGTTTGGTCATATCTTTGATGATGTCTTCGGCTTCATCTCTTTTTGCAAATGGAAGTCGTCTAGGTTGTTGTCTGATTGGCTGAGCGTCTCCGGTATTAATTTTATGCTTTACTATGCTTGTTTTACCATTATAGTTCTTATCAATGGCGAACACATCTTGAAATTCTATTAGCATAGACTTCACTTTTTTAGTTCGTTCATCATCAAGATCTTGGCACGTTTTAATCATCGTCTCAACAAGCTCCTTTGAATACTTAGATTTCGACGGTTTCTCATTACTACTCATGGAACAAATCGAAGCCACGGGAACACACTGTCCGATCAAAGTTCTTTTACTTAACTTAATAGCAGTTCCCTTTAAATTCATAACTCTTACAGGAACTACATCTCGAATTCTCACCAAAGCTTTTGCCGTTAGGAACTCGGCATTGTTCACATCTTCGACCATCCTTAAACTTCCCTCTCGGCAGTAACTATCAGGTCTGGCCATCAAAATTTTCTCACTATTACCGGGTATTGTTACGTCACAAGTAGTTATTAAGTTGATAACATCTTCTTTGTCTTCATGAAACGGCAACTCTTCACCACCGATCTCGAGAACTCCATCTTTGACATTCAATACAGCCCCAACTTTCCGTAGCAAATCCATCCCCAATATGAACTCATCGGAGATCTCTGCAATTAATACTCTATGTTTCACTGTGGCCACCATGTCTGGCCAATGGATACTGACATATTAGCCTCGCCATATGTATTAATTATCTCACCAGTTGCCGTTCTAAGCTTTACTGTTGCAGGCGATAATTTAAGATGGTCTCGTACTACTTCTGGCCGTGCAATAGTTCTTGTTGCACTTGTATCTACCAAAAACGATCTACATTTATTGTTAATACGACCCTCGATGTACAAGCTATGAATTCCACCGGAGGACGTGATGTTCACAGTTACTATGGGGGCTGTGTTTCTCGAGGTCGGCAGTTGCCCCTTAGTGTCGACCCGTTCTAGTTTTCCGACTGTTGTATCATTTTCTTGCAATTGCGGCGAATGTGACCTACGTCACCACAATTCCAACATCTGGGCTCGCGTCTCTTCGGCATCGTGTTATGAACTATTTTTCGTACCATTTCTTCTAGACGTTCATCGTTTAGTTCGTCGCCTTCTTCAATGGTTCTTACTCGATGGCTCCGTGAAGTTTGACTAGCTGTTTCATGTTCTAAGGCAATAGCGAGCGCTTCATCTAAAACTTTCGGTCTTGCTAGTCGTAAAGCTTTCTGTAATTCACTTTCTTTTAACCCATTGACGAAGGTATCTACGGCAATTTCATCCAAAATGTTGTCTGGTGCCTCCGGATAAGCCAACCGCACTATGCGAGCAACATCTGCTTCAAACTCTTGCAAATTCTCACTTGCTCGCTGAGTTCTACTTCTTAGTTGCGCCTTGTAGACTTGTTGTAGATGGGCATCTCCGTAACGTTTATCTAGTCGAGTGAACAAGGTCTGGTAACATTTTTCTTGACCCTTAGGAATTGATCTTAGGATATCTGCAGCATCACCTCGCAAAGCAGCAGTCAAGGAAACAGCTTTTTCTTGTTCTGTCCAATGATTGGCTGTCGCAATAGCTTCAAATTGTCTAAGGTATATAGACCAAGAGGACTTTCCATCAAATGGTGGCAATTTGAATCTCATATGATGTGTCGTTTCGTCTCTCGGTGATTCTTCTTTTACTACCGGATCTAAAGCTACCGTATTAATTGGTGGTAGCACTTTCGTGTTAGTTATCATGCTCTCTAACTGTTTGATTTTCTGTTCTACTTTATCGAATGTTTTAGACTTCTTCAAACTTCTCACTATTCTGAATACATACTTCGTCGAATCTTCTAGACATATTTTCAAATTTCTCGTCGTTTTGCCTAGCTGTTTCTTTAATAATTTGAGAAGTTTCATCGAATCTTTTGGAAACGTTCTCGAATTTATCATCATTTTTTCTAGAAGATTCTTCAATTTTTTTAGAAGTCTCTTCAATCATTTCCGACACATTTTTTATTTTCGTTAAAACTGCTTCTTCTGCTGACTGGAACTGGAATGTCTCTGGGTCTTCTCCATTCTTGTTGAGAACAGTCTTCAGTCGTTCTTGGAGTATCTTCTTGGACCCGCTGCAGTCTTCATCGCGCTCTTCTAGTTGCTCACGCAACTGTTTCACTGAAAGTTCTACTAACAGCATCTTTGATCAGGTACACACGTATTTTTAAAATGTTCTTTCGTACAACGATCACTACTGAACTACGCGGATGTTCACGACGAACAATACTTTTCAAAAGTTCAAAAGTCTCTTTTTTTCACTGTTAAATTTATGTTTAAATAAATCAATTGTCCTCACACGGTGACACCAACTGTACCGTTTTTAAATAAAACGAGCGGTTCGAATTTATATAAATATATTTATTTATAACTTTACAGTTCGGAATTCTCTTATCAACTAAACTAAATCCTAATTTCGTTACATATATATACCAAAGTATTATATTCGAGAATAGTCCCACCTCTAATTCGTTATTCGACGGGTGGAATTTTACAGTGCTCGAAATATCGCCGAAACTCTCGGTGCTTCGAGATGCGACCGTTAGGTAATCCACGCTAAATGCATGTTCGTAACACTATGATTTCTGAATATACATGTTTTATAGACGATTGTGGTAAATTTCAAAAAAAATGTTCGATGCCTTCTTGGACTTTTTCACTACGTAGTTGATTATCTCTACCCATACACGCTTAAATTCTGTATTCCCGTTTTAATCATTGTAAATGAAGAAGCGGATTGCAATAGTCTTAAATTCACCTACGCTTTGATTTCGTTTGGTATTATCTTAATTTAGTTTTTGTCACTGTATACAAAATTAACTCCACTTCGGTACCAAGTAGTTCTTTGAAGTGCTCAAGCCATCTGCTTTGTATTGGTACTAATTGTATGTTCATTTGTGTCCCTACTCATCGTCATCCGTGGTTTGAATTCTTCTCTTGTCTTACTTAGGATGTTATAGAATCTGGTTTTCTAAGGTCCGCTTTTTTCTTCGATGCACGCATTTTTCGTTTTTCCTGAGTTCTTTGTACGTTTGCTCTTTTACTGCCTGTATATACCTAGTCTGTATTCTGTGATTTTATGCGTAACCTGTAACGGTGTAATAAAATCTTGTAGTTGATAAATACAATGATAGTCAAGTTGATAAATAGTCTAATCATCATGGCTTTAATCTCTAACAACGAGAAGAACAAATTAGAGTTTGCTGTGGATATGAATTTAGGGATCCCAGAAAAGTTTGTCGCACCTACCCACGTAGGTGGGAAAAGGAAAACATTCGTCTACAAAACAATAAAGAAAATTATTAGATAAAAAGGACAAACTAAAGATGTGCCAAGTGTCTCCCTATTCTTTAATTATCTGGATTTGGTTTTTACCTTTTCTTAAATCTCAGCTATTTTTATTTCGTTATCTAGTCTAATATTTAAAGCATAGTTAAATTCTCTAATGAACTTACAAATAATCACAGTACTTTTTTAAATTACAGGAAGGGCCTGCCCGTAAGGAATCAGGAAAGCGGGGACGAAAGCCAGGCAGGAAATCGGCTGAAAAAGTGGACATGAAAGCCAAATTGGGTGAGTGCTATATTTTCACAACCTCTCTAAACTAGTTGTAGACAGAGTTGCGAAAGTCTACTATAAATCGCAATAAAATCAAAAATGTAAACGAACGCTGCAACTAAGTTTAGTTGAAAATTTTTAAAGTAAAATCTCTGTAAGCGTTAATTCCTATAAAGAGACCACCTGCATATAACGAACTATTCTGAATTTCCGCTCATTAAGGTCGATTCAAACACATCAGTCACGTCTCGTCACAGTCCCGGCGCCGAACTGAACAATCCGTCATACAAAATATTCTTTAATAGAAATATGCCGTCGACATTCACATTCATCAGTTGACGAACAGTTTCCCAGCAGTCAGGTTTCGACACGTCTATACCCAGCGACGAATTTTTTGGTGTTGCCGGGAACATGACGGGCAGTACAAGTGAACAAAATGAAATTATTGACGAACAATTAATAGAATGTTTTGAATGATTTGTCGCATGCAAAATACATGGTTAATTTTAAAAATAATATTTGGCAGGGAAGCAATTTTCAACATCCTAAAATATTGATGAAATTTTACATCATCATGAAGCAGTTCTTTATACACTGTCTCGTATTCTCCTTCGGTATCCCTTTTTTTCTATGCATCATGGATCCATTTCCATCTTTTGGCTTAATTTGCTTACGCTTCTTCCTCCTCGTCCAAACATATATCAATTATTGCTAATTCTTCATCCGCGAAACTTTCCATCTTTTCAACAGATTGGTCGTCGAAGACTGATGCATTTCATGTGTGTGCGAATAGACGAACGAATAGTTCTGTGACCAGACGGGACCGGTTCGGCGCCGGGACTGATGTGTTTGAATCGACCTTTAGAAATGCAAATCCCCGTTCTTTATACCGACAATCCTCTCAAGCTATCGCGGGCACCTATAATCGGAATTTCCTAGTATTTGTCAATGGTAACATGAGGCGTTGAGAACCAGAGCGGACCATCCTGTTGAAACATTAAATGGAGAAAACTGAGAGTTACAAAAACTGGTATTTTAAAGAATTTTTTGTGGCCTACATAAAAGTCGAAAGAAAATGTAAGAAAGTATTTTTGAAGTGTGTATATTTTAGGCAATTCCCAGCTGAGCGCTTTCGGCTTTACAAAGCCATCATCAGAGCTATGCTACAATAAAATGTTCTTATAAGTACTAATTGGTAAAGATTATAATTTTTTAACTTACGTCAATTTTTTAAATACCACTACAAAGGAGAGATCTCATTTCCTTATATTTCAGAATTATGATTTTTTTAGTTGTTGAAATTCTTAAAACTTATAAAAAAACATATAAAAAGCCGATACTGGACTTCACAAACACGTTAAAAAAATTGAAAAAAATTTTTTTGTCATGGTAAGGGCTGTAAGAACCCGACCATTGATTGATGTGAGGAGGTAGACAGAATAGAACTAATGAAATCAAATGTCGGTCCTTTTAAACGATTTTTCAAAAGTGACCACTGGACAAATGTCATATATAGGAAATAGAGATTGTTTTTTAAATTCTTACAAAATTATTTAATAGTTTGGAATTACTAATAGTCATCAAAGACTTTCTAAAAATTAAGTTTTTAAATTAAATTTTATGTGTTCATCACATCATACAGAATGACATTAGTTTGTAAATTCACTCAAGTCATTGCTCAAGGTCAATGTATGTTCAATCTGACAGCCATCCTTAAGAAACAAGGGCTCAAATTGTTCAACAATAATATAAAGAAGAAATATGGTATTAATGTTACGTTATCTAATACTTAAGTGTATTGAGAATTGTATCTCTTGATGGAAATTTGTAAGAAATTTGGATAAAAATTTTTTTTAAGAATGTATTTTCATGTTTCAATTAAGAATAACTGTCAAATGAATTACAAAATGTTGTAAATTTCTAATAAAGTTTAAAATTTGTTTAAAAATATAAAAGTATGAAAAAATATATAATAAGATTGCATGAGGTCACCCTTCTTCCTCTAAAGTCTCCCATAATAATTTAAAAAGAGGTTTATAATTGCAATTGAGGTTGATTTGTGTGTTTAAGCAACAATCAGGGTTTATTTTCATTTCTTTGGATATCTCAAGATCTTCCAAGAGATTCATGAGTCTAAAGTTTTTATTGGGAATGTGTAAAATTTTACTGGAAGAAGGGAAGAAGGAAGAAGGGTGACCTCATGCAATCTTATTATATATTTTTTCATACTTTTATATTTTTTAACAAATTTTAAACTTTATTAGAAATTTACAACATTTTGTAATTCATTTGACAGTTATTCTTAATTGAAACATGAAAATACATTCTTAAAAAAAATTTTATCCAAATTTCTTACAAATTTCCATCAAGAGATACAATTCTCAATACACTTAAGTATTAGATAACGTAACATTAATACCATGCTTCTTTATATTATTGTTGAACAATTTGAGCCCTTGTTTCTTAAGGATGGCTGTCAGATTGAACATACATTGACCTTGAGCAATGACTTGAGTGAATTTACAAACTAATGTCATTCTGTATGATGTGATGAACACATAAAATTTAATTTAAAAACTTAATTTTTAGAAAGTCTGATGACTATTAGTAATTCCAAACTATTAAATAATTTTGTAAGAATTTAAAAAACAATCTCTATTTCCTATATATGACATTTGTCAACTGTCACTTTTGAAAAATCGTTTAAAAGGACCGACATTTGATTTCATTAGTTCTATTCTGTCTACCTCCTCACATCAATCAATGGTCGGGTTCTTACACCCGTACCATGACAAAAAATTTTTTTCAATTTTTTAACGTGTTTGTGAAGTCCAGTGTCGGCTTTTTATGTTTTTTATATGTTTTAAGAATATTCACAACTAAAAATATCATAATTCTGAAATATAAGGAAATGAGATCTCTCCTTTGTAGTGGTATGTAAAAAATTGACGTAAGTTAAAAAATTATAATCTTTATCAATTAGTACTTATAAGAACATTTTATTGTAGCATAGCTCTGATGATGGCTTTGTAAAGCCGAAAGCGCTCAGCTAGGAATTGCCTAAAATATACACACTTCAAAAATACTTTTTTACATTTTCTTTCGACTTGTCATAAGTGTGTACAAAAAAAAATATCAGTCTTTTGATTACTACATAAAAGTGTTAAATTTTTTTTAGTATGAAGCACTGGCAATAGTAGTAGGTATTTTGTAACGGATTGTCCAAGAAAATGTGTTTTTTTTGTAATTTACAAAAATAATGTGGATTAATCCGCGTTGGTATTTAGAAAATCGTCCATGCATGTATAATAGTCCTGTTAAAAATAGACATAACTATGGAATAGGTTTATTGTTAGTTACGTAAAAATACAAAAGTATATAAATTTACTCCAAATCATCTCCTCGCAGTGAAATCTCGTCCTGAACAGTATCGGAGCATTTGAGATCTTTATAAAAGTCATGATAGATCGGTGGAATAAACTCAGTCAATTGCAACAGGTCTTTTTTGGCTGGAGTTATAACATTTCCATCAGGATATAAAATTGATAATTTATCCTTCAAACGATCCTTTGGTATATTCCTTTTTTCAATATTAAATTTTTGAAGTTGATGAAGATCACTTACACCATATTTAAAATAAATAATACAAGGATCATCTTTTTTTTTTAATGAATGCTGTGAATTTTTAACCACTCGACTTTCGTTACATCCGCCGAGACTTTCCTATGTGTAGTATTTTTTTGCAAATTAGTTGTTGAAAAGAAATTTTCGGACCCCATTTCTATTACATGAAAAGGATTTCGTCTTCTCGCCGTGGAAATTACATTGATCCAGTCTTTAGGATGAAAAATGTTGGGGTGATATTTTTTATTTTTCTCGATTAGACCGAAGTCACGGTCACATGACAAAGGTGCACTAACTAAACAGTTTTGCTTTATTTCTTCAACTAGAGAATCATCCGATTGCACCATATGAGTAAACTGTAAAGCCATTTTAATACTTCTAATTTGGCCACCGCAGCCATCGGAATACGTGATTACTTTCTTGCTTCTAACATAATAATATAATGAATAAGACAGGAGCCGACTTCCTGAGCTCCTCTAGACGCAACGGATTCATTCCATACATACATCTTAACTTCTCCAGACTGTAGATTGTGGACGCCCAGACAATACGTCCACAATTGCCTTTTATAATATGTTATTCCTGTCGATAACACTAGGGTGGGCAGTGTCTTCATCAAATCAAAGGCAAAAATAATGGTGTCGTCCTTATCTGTTGTAAGTTTAGAATCTTGTACCATTGATTCTTTTAGCTGTTCTGCTTTTCTCAGGTGAAGCTCTTTTTCAATTTTTAGCTCTTTTTTCCTTTGCAAGTTGTTTTCGCTGGTTTGTATTTGTCTTTCTAAGAAATCGCATTTTCTACAAGAATCAACAATCGGAGCATGAAAATGTAAATCAAATCTGAAACAGGATCTGAAACAAGATCCTTTGTTGATTTCTTGTATTCATTAAAAAGAATACGAATTTTTAAATCAGGAGATAAATATTTTCTTTTTGTTTTGTGTCGTGCATAGTGAGAATATTCTATTTTTTCATTAAAATCACAAACTGCTTTAACAGTTTCGGGTGGGGTTTTATTAGCAGGCGGATGTCTTTCACGTTGGTCTGTTAGTGGAATTAGAATTTTTCTTCAACGTTCGATCAAGTTTACCATCGCTGACGTTCAGTACTTGCTTAAATAATATTTTGCATATTTGATGCCGTTGCCTTCATTGTTAGTTAAATAGTAATGCCGTGTGAAATTATTGGATTTTCACAAAACTTTATTATTTGAATAGTGACGTGCAACTCCTACTACTTTTACTTGCGAAAAAATAAATGGACTTTGCAAGTCGGTACTGGCAAGACCATAAAACTTTTTATTGATCTGCTCTTGACTTTCGGTGTTCAACAACTTATGGCAATTTAGTTTGCAGCATGAATTTACTGGAGTATGTATTATGGCTGGAACAA